ATGATCCCTTTGTGAACATTATTCGCATTGCTTTTTCATACTGTATTAGACAGCATGCCATTGAATCTCCCAGATTGTGATCCATAGGCATGATCACAAGCCCATCTAACTCACAAATATACCATCGTTTCGCATTACTACCTTATTGTAGCACTTCTCTAATTCCTTCTTCTGAAAGCCTCGAGCTTGCCCTTCCTGAAAGAATACTTCAAATGCCAAGTTTATTTGTTTGTGCAGTTGTAGACCACTGCTCACATCGGGTCTGGGTACATTCTTGAAGTTCTCCACTGCCGCCACAGTTTTCACCTCATTAGAAAAGCGAAAACAGACGTGTCCTTCTTCATTTCTTGGGAGACTGATTCCTTCACAAGTACATTTCGCAGTTCCTTCCACCATTCTGGCAAAAATGTGATGGTTGCAGAGGATTTGGCCGATCGCCCTTCCCCTTACCCATACTACTCACATCCGTCGGCATATAAATTCGGCAATAGCATTGCTACAGCAAGACTCTTTTACCCTGTTCTTACAGCACTGCGTCAACTTGAATTTACACAGGCCTTCCGCGTATTGCACGCGCACGATCAACCTCCTTCTCACGTTCGTTCCGAATTTCGATTTGATCACCCGGGCGATTGTGCCCCGGAGAATTGTTCTTGTTCTCTTCTCCTTGAATTCCCGTATGTCGTAGTATAGCCCAACCAGCCTGTCGATTGTGAACGTGTTTGAAGAGTGTCTTCCGGTACTGCGGGATTCGAACAAGCGCTGCTAAAAGGCAATGGTCCGGTCGGCATTCTCTTTCCACCACTCTTGAGATCTCACACGTGTCGCCAATCATCTCTTTTATCCGCATTTGCTTTAGTAGTACCTTCTTTCCACGCCATCCAATCTCGCTCATGCCGAACCTGCGTTTCACCACCGACCAGTCTTCGCACCACTGTGTGCCTTCGCCGATCGTGATCTCCGTCTTGTTCCCTTGGTTCTTCAGATCGAGCAGGATCCTGATGAGTGAATATCTTGAATTCTCTTGGACGGTTAACTCGACCGGTGAAGCTGCGATCTTCGACATTCTTGTCTTACTCTTTGCTCATCTCTCTCTCCTCCCATGACGGTTCTTTCTGTTTTTATTCCTTCGAGTTTAGGCGTTCAAACTAGGACAAAAATTTCGAATATACAACTGTTCCAATATCTCTAACTCTTCCTTGTTGCAGCATACAAAAGGCATGGCCACGTACTCCTACCACCCTTTCTTTCTCAACCATCTATACACCCTATGCTTCCTCCCATCCTCCTTTGTCTCTGCCATCCGTCGATGTTCATTCCACCTTTCTTCGAACATACGCTTCGTTTGCCCAATATATGTTGCTCTGAAGAGTGGAGAAACCAATGCGTAGACGTAGGATTCAGGTCGTGTGAACCAAGCCTCGTCGTGTGTACTCTACCCGGAGGGGCCGTCCAAGAACTTCTTTAGCTATGACATCCGTCCTTCTTTGGTCATCTTTACCACTAGGAGTCTCATCTCGCACTCGATCTCCCTCCTCCGTTCGTGGTGCCCATGACACCTCGATGGATCTTGGCTCAACTTCTTGAACCGTTCCCAGGTGCACGCCGAGTACTGGTGGTCTTCATCATTCGTCATCCTCATTTCCCTGGGCCTCTGGATTTACTTGCTCGGAGATCCGGACTGGAGCTGCATCCCTTTGCTTTCCATATGCGATGACAACTCTTGCTTTGGCTAGTGCTTCAACGAGATCCTCTTTTCGATTGCTCTTTGCCTTCACTTTTTCGTCCTTCGCCATCTTCGTCAAAAATGGCACGTTCTTCGTTCTCAGGAATCGTTTGGTGTCCTCTATGTACTTTTTCCTTCCATCTTCTCCTGGTTCCGCGACTACTGTTTTCTTCCCAAGTATCAGTCTGTCGAATCCAAGCGGTTCCTCGGTCTCTCCGTCGTTGCTTTTGTCTTGCCTGATTCGTGATACCATGTTCGTCCGTCGGGTCGGATTCGGTGCCGACTTGGCAAACAGCTCGTTGGGTCCGACAGTCCGGATTCCTGACATGGGGGGTTTTCCTCCTCCTCTCGAAGTTGATGGTGTGTTCGGAGTTGGCGTGTTCATTTACGATGCTTGAGCCGCCTGGAGTTTCTCAATCTGCATGGTGTCGCATTTGCATCTCCAACATTTCTTGTGCGAGTTTTGCTTCGTGTTCTGGAGTCTTGTGTTGCTTGTTTGCTCGTGATTCGTCTTCCTTTCCTTGCATGGTTCCTTGCCTCATTTCTTCCTACTACGTTTCAGTTCGGCTTCGCGTAGCATGAGTATATCTCGTCGCATGTCTTCAACCATAATCGAATTCTTCGCAGTTTCTGCCTTCATTTCGTCGATGGCTTGTTTCAGCAATCTGTTCTGTTCCGCCATCTGCTCGACGATTACTTGGTATCCTTAATCCTTGTTCCCTACCTTCGAGTCGATGAGCAGCGCAAGCTTGGCATCACGCTCCTCGGCTCGTCGCTGCTTCTCTTGTTCGCATTTCTTTCTTTCTTCTCTTAGTACTCTCAGTTATTCTTCTCTCCTCCTTCGTTCCTCCCCTTCTCTGTGTTTCTCCTTCTCTTTTTTTTTCTCTTGCAATACGGTCGTGCAGAATTCTCGCATCACTAGTACCGCGTCCGCTATCTCCTTGATCGATGTTAGATTGTTGTAGTTGTTGAAGTTGCTCTTGTAGTCATGGCTGCCGCCGTACCCGCTGTCGTGGTCGCCTTGGTATTCGTCTCGCTTCGTTGTCTGGATTGCGCCCGACCCTCTTGCCGGGACAATCTGTCGATCGTGGTTGCTCGCTATTGTAGACGTTGTGCTTTGTCCTCCGTCATTCTCACCTCAAGGCCTACGAGGTTTGATGCAACCTCGGGATAGATGCCCAGGCTCACCGGATTTATAGCACTTCGGTACCTGGTTCTCCCCCGTGTCGCCCATCGTAGTTGTACGTACACACCTTCAACAGGTGTCACGGTAATTCCCTTTCCGGTTAGTACACTCACAAATGCTTAGAACAGTCGGGTAGACGAGTTCCGTGCAGTCGTACGCTAACGCGCGCGAGGTTGGTATGCTTGTGACGGTACTTCAACTAGCGGGACATCGATCACTTCGACAGTCAATCCGATACATACTTTGTTAATTCTTTTTTCCCTTACGCATGTGCACATAGCATTCGTACATCGTCGCCGTCCCTTCTGGATAACAGGATGATGACAATGACACATTCACAATGAATGACCCAATAGTGGACTTGGAAGAGGCAGTAGCCAAGACGAGACGGGTGTCACTTGCACCTCGCTGCCTTAAATACTGCCTATCGTGCGACCAGTCCTACTACGGTCCTTCAAGTTCAAAAATTCAAAAATTGCAATGGCAGATTGGGCAGATAACAGGATGAGACAGCCTGGATGGCTCAACGATCCAAACAGTCCCCTCGTGCAAAATGCAATGCGTTTCTTGCTGAGGAAGATTGGGCGGACGTGGGATTCACAAAAACACATTGACATGTGGGGGTATCTCTACGAGTTCTTGAGAGAGCCTATGAAAGGTGAAGTCAGGAAAGATAAGCATATGTGGACCCCTCTTGCTATCATGGCAACCACAGAACGTGCTTCGGCGGATTGGTGGGCGTTGCATGGTGGAGATGTTCCGGATTTGCAGCCAATCGCCACCAGAGTGCTGAGAATGTGGAGCACTGCAACATCTGCGAAACGGACCCCTCTTGCTACAACGGCAGCCACAGAACGTGCTCCGGCGGATTGGTGGGCGTTGCATGGTGGAGATGTTCTGGATTTGCAGACGATCGTCATCATAGTGTTAGGAATGTGGAGCGCTTCAACATCCGCGAAGCGGAACTGGGCATCAATAGACTTTGTCCACTCAAAGAGGAGGAACAACCTGTCACCAGCGTCCTTGGAGAAACTTGTGTATATTCATTGGAACATGCAGTTCCTTCGTGTTCGAACGAGCAAGGACAATTGCTACGTGGATGTATGGGGGTCCTTCTGGAGCCAACAGAGGAGGACCAATCTCTCGACGATGGTACAACGGAGAAGACTGTGGACGAAGGGGAGGAGGAAAAGAGGCAAAAGAAACTGAACAAGGCTCCGAAAGGACGGATTCCCCGCGACCTGTTGGATGAAGACTCAAGTGGGAGCGGCGAGCTTGAGGATTTGATATGGAAGGGGAAATGCTAGAATGAGTCTACTTTGGAGGAAAGCGATGATGATGATGAAATTGGTGAGGACTCCGACTTCGAGTTGGGGGTTGTGCCAGCGGTCCCCACCACTGCTTGCGTCGGTTGGACGCTCGAGAGGCGACAAAAAGAGGCAGAGGTGCAACCTTCAGATCCCGTGGAGAGAGTTGACACGGACATCGTGTTCTTGATGCACCATGTCCCTGATGGTGACCGTGATGCGGACGAGGACGAAGCAGATAGGGCAAAGGCTATGGCGGATAGAGATGTTGCCCTTGTTCACATGCGGATGCTTGAGGAGGAGGCTCGGTGTGCTGCTATCCCCACCAAGAGGGAGAGAAAGAGACAAAGCAAACAGATCAACGAGCCTGAGAAGCAGCATCAGGAAGAAAAATATCAGCAACAAAAAACTAAAATATGCAGCAAGAGAGAGAGAAGCCCCAGCAACACGAAGACGAAAAAAATTAGTAGCAAGAGGGAGTTATGCTGTTGGAACACGCCGAGGAGAATATGCAGCAACAAGGAGTGGAACCACAACAACTGCCAACCACGGTGTATGCACGAAGACCGCAGGCACATGCATTACAACAGCCCGTACTGCCGGAACAACAGGAAGTCCAAACACTAGTGCCTACAGCGTCACACCACACCGACAGACCCCCCTACCCTGCACAGAATGAGGTTGTGCAACATGACAATCTTTAGAGAAGTAGGGCAAGGCGAAAGAGGAAAGCTTCGGTTGACGAACACCCAAAAAAACCGCGTCGTGGTCGTGGGAGGCCCCGCAAGGAGAAGTCGGGGGATGATGCTGCAAAGAAAAACAAAAAAAAGTGGCCCGGCAGGGTCCGCAAATTGCGAGTGGAGGAGGATGACCCCGACTCGGATGAGGGCAATGCCTACTGGTCCGACGAGGAGATGAGCGGAAGGGATTTAGAGAGAGAGAGAGAGAGAGAGAGAGACAGAGAGACAGAGAGACAGAGAGACAGACAGACAGACAGACAGACAGAGAAAGAAATCTGGAACTGCTGCAGATGTTTGACTTGAAGAAACTTTGAATCGGGTGTTAAGCCGTTGCTCTTAAATTGTCTGGCCTTTATCTGTTTCATCTTTGTTCTTCTTCTTCTTTACCCTTTTCTTCTTTGCATTCTTCCACCTCATAACGTCGTCTACCTCGTCTTCCATGATGTATGTATGGTGCTGCTTACAGGCCTGCACCCCCCCCTTCCCCCACCCCCACCTCAAACCCACCCCCACCCCCCCCCCCCCCCCCCCCCCCCCCCCCCCCCCCGCAAGTTTTATTGCGGAATCTGACAGATCTTAGCGAGCGAAGTCGGATACCGCAATCATAAAAATATAATAGTAATAAATAAATTGGGTTTTTTTTTTTGGACATCCGGTTTTGCCGGTTCACCGCCCCTGGACCGGTTCGGGCTCGATTGGACTAGGGCAGGTGATATGGCTGGTTGTTAGCCCAACCTTGCTTGTGAGGTAACTTCGAGGATATGTCAATTTTATTCGTTTAGCACTATTTTTTGGTCGAGAGGAATTGATCGCTTGGTTGTGGCCTGGCAGTTGCTATGTGTTTTTCAAATTGAAGTTGATGCCTTTCAATACACTCCACTGCATTTTGAAGGCCTTACGGACAATCCTAATTATCTTTTCAGCTGGTTCACTAAAAAATTGATAGATGGGTCTCCACCTTGTTGTGTCTTTGTGCGTTGGTATAGTATAATGGTATAACCTTGACCCAATGCTCAATCCCAATGCTCAATTATCGTTCCACTTCGTTATTTTTGTATGTCCTTCTCCTCGATATGTTTAGTTGCACCTCCTATGATCACAACCTTATCTTCTTCCTTCCGTTTGTCGAGCACTTCACTATGCAAAAAATATGCCTTGCATGGCTACTGCATAGTGCATGGCAACATGTCATTGTATTACCCATGTTGCGATTCCTTGGCATGATAAACCAAGCCCTTCAGCCCATCCTTCACGGCAAAGACTGGATTCATTGAACTCTTTTTGCTTTGCCTCTAGTGTCATTGTAGAATACATCCAAATTCATTTTCTGAAACATTCAAGCTCGTTGTCATTCAAAGACGTATCCATTTCGAGGTTCAAGTGTTTTGCCAATGTCGTCCCACTTTGCTTGTAAGTTTGTGGGACTTTTTTAAAGTTTGTTTAGCTTACCGATAGGTTGACTGCGTTCAAGTACATATACAAATAGGAACACCAAACACACACTTAGTTTGATGTTCAAAACCTGACCTCGCGCAAGGGATTACATCGAACAGGCTGAGTTGTGGGATTCTAGCCACAATGGTTGCCACACCATATGTTGTGCCCTTGTGTGTGCTCTGCGAGGTTTGTCGGGAGCATCATACAAGACCACTTGCTCCTCCCCTTGGGTTGTACGGGGTCATGGGGGGATGGGGGCAGTACGAGAGGTGAACTCAGTGATTCTTGGACCATTGGCAAATATTTGTACCATTGTAACCATTGTAACTCAAAGTACAAAACATTGGGGGGAAAAGGGGGGGGGGGGAGACCAGGATTCGCCATACTCATAGCTTACCTACGACAATTCCCCTCGGCGGCATGTAACAGTGGTGTGTTGGTCTCCCGGCTTGTCGCCTCAGAAACCTCGGTATCTGAATCCGAGTATGACACACCCCGTTGCTCACGACCACGTAGCACTGGTCTTGGTCGATACCCCCCCGCTTGGGTGAGTGTGAGGTTGAGAGTTTTGAGCTTGAGAGTCCTCTGGTGACTGGGTGAGTTCACTATGTCGTTAGAAGGTTGAACCCGGTGTGTCCACCCTCCTAATGGCGTACCCTGTATGAAATTATCCCCGACACCCAAACAACCCTTAAGAAAAAAAAAAAAAAAAAAAAAACAAATAGATGTCCTTTTAGTCATTATGGCAAAGAGTTAAAGGTTATATATGACCTCTCCCGCGATTTCTCTCTTAATCCGTCAACCCGCATTTGTTTACGGCAACTGTACGCACATATTCGGCGATAACACTCCTCTCACATATTTCCTAACTTTTGTCGTACAACATTTACAAACCATCTTGGAATTTAACTTTATGATATGTTGCCTCACGGTCATCCTAAACTTCGATCGGATCATCCATGTTATTACTCCTCGAAGAATTACTTTAGACTTATTATTTTTTAACTTCCTTAACCCATACTATAATCCCAAAAATAAGAGGGCAATTCATCGATAGCACCCACAATCATTTCAATGACTTGGCTAATGATTATCTTTCTTCCAAACTCGGCGCTGACCAATGTTAAGTTTTTCATAAGTTGAATGATTTTGTACATTTTAACTTCATTTTAGAAAGAATTTTCGATTGGTATAATTGTTTTTGAAAGAAGACTTCATACACATTGTTATTTTTTAAATGCATGGCCCGCCAAAAATGGGTATTAGTTTCATTATTCTTGAAGTGGCAAATTCTGATAAAAATATAATTTTTATTTGTTTTTAGTATGAAAATAAAATTTGACCTAAAATGAGTATATGAAGTTAATTATGAACCAATCATTATATTTTTGGCAAAATATCCTAAAAAAAGACTTCCAAAAGACAAAATTTTTGAAGAGAGTGCACCAACTAGGCTACACGGACAACGTATGAGTAGAGTGTTTTTTGGTACTATGAAATTTTTAGGACCGCAGTTAATAGGCAATAATTTTTACGA